CTACCACCGACTGGCTCGCGCCGGTCACCGCCGGTCGCCAGCGAGGCGCGCGCGTGAGCGACGCGCCGGTCGGGCCGCGCGACACGCGCCACGAGCGCCGCCGCGCCGGGCCGCGCGCGCGCGCGTCCGCCTGCAGAAGCTCCGAGATGAGAGCCGGTTCGCCGACAGAGCAGCGGAGCCGGCGGCGCCAAACGCTGCGCTGTATCGATTCCAGCAGCACCAGCTGTGGGCCCGTGTTGCACGGAGCCCCAGCAGTCGAAACCGCGGTACACCAGCGGCCAACAGACAGCAGCAGCGGGTAAGAAAGGCACCAGCAACCCAGCGGCCGCTCTTCCCTTACGAGTTCAGTCGGCCGCCCGACTATTGATAAAAGAGGTCAATAGAACGTATTCCCGGCGCAAAACGGCCACGTCGGGTCAACAGACGAGGCAGATAGAGAAGTCATGGATGAGGCGGCGGCAGCGCCGGAGGAGGGAGGACGGCCCATGGCCGCTGATAGGCGCGGGTCGGTGATGGAGGGCGCCCGGCGGCACCTCGACCCCGTCCCGGCGGCAGTTCGAAGCGGCCGCCGGAATATGCAGGCCGGTCGGCGGCCCGGTCACGGCGGATGTCCGGTCGGAGATAGGGCCGGCCGCGCTCCGCCGCCCCGGCCGCCGCTCACCGGTCTCTCCGGCTAATCCGGGTTTGCTGCACTTATTGATAGGATAAAATATATTGTACTCGACATCAGACGCCAGCATTACACATAATATGAAGATCATGCATTATGCAGGTCCGCTGACGGCGAGTATTCCAAGTGTTTTGTTACTATCGAATTAGACGAAATAAACAACCTTCAAAGTAACTATTGACCAGTCAAGAATGATTAAAATTACATGACTTGTGTCATGACTGAAATAGACGCACCTTTCCCTTCCTGATTTGGATCCATAATTTCATCTTTGGATTCATAAAACCCAAACTTTTCAGACAATTTTGGCAGTTCCTATCAAACGTTGATGAGAAATACTAATACTAAGCGCTCGTTAAATGAGAAATGAAATCGGACACAAGGAACATCAAAGTCAAAATAGTGTGATCTAAAAGAGCATTTACGGATTTACCATCCAACCCAAAATGATCTGATTTACCATCCAATGCTACTCGGATGATCTACGTGTAAAGGTGCTAATAGTTTGGTAAAATGCATAAAAAACGTGAAATTCGTTTTTTTCGATACGCAGTCCAACGCTAGAAACCATGCAAGTACACACACAGAAATATTGAGCGGAAAAACGGTGTAATTGAAAGTACCAAAAGGAACATTTTTTTAGTGTAAATTTACTCTGTTTTCTGGCTAAAAGAACACTTATATGTGTGTTTTGCTAGCATCGGAGTGTTTCACTATTGTGTAGGAGAACCGCTTTCAGTGTAACCTTACCACGGATCTCGCGTTACATTTACGCACAAATATGTGTTTTTGGTAAAAAGTACCAAAAGGAACACTCGCGTGGTAATCGTACACAAATTCATGGCGGTAAATTTACACAAATATGACGGTTATCATAACGATTTGTTCTGGTAAAACTAATGTTCGGCCCGCAAAATTTGTGAAGCAAGCGACACGCGGCGGGACGTTGTCGCCAGCCGCGAGCCTAGCTAAATGGAACGAAACATTGTGATGCTCAATGCCTACCCCATGCTGGAAACACGTTCATTTGTTTGTTTGTCGTTTATTTAAAGATTCGACATCACATCTGACGGAAATAAAAGTTAGTTTAGCGCAAAAGCATAACCTTATCATATACATAAGCTGATATTTCACAACGCATAGGCGCCGCTACAGGCCTCAGCCACCGCCCGTCTCCCGTCAACTGCATGCCCGTATTTAATAAATGAAAAATATGTCATCTGTAGGCACTGCTTCACTGTGCCAAAATTATCGTTCATTTAATTAGCCATCGGCTCTCTATTGCCTATCTGGCAAAAAATATTAGTTTAACTATACCTAATCAACCATAGAAAAGCATGAAAGTGCATTCATTATTTTCATAACACGACAGCAGTTCAGTTGAAAAAATTGCAAGCCCACCTTAGCACTCCGACAAAGTTGGATAATTTCCAGCAGCTCCTCTAATGTCATTCCGCTTCAGATTTCAGACTTGGTCTTGATTGCAGTTATCAGACGATGACCACAAAGCAGTATTTCACTTATTATTCACTCATTCACTCATTACTCAGCTTATTATCCAACTAGATAAACACCTCAGCACTGTTTTATCTCACTGATCGTACAAGAATGGGCAAACTCACTCTGCGCACTGCAGCCACAACACTCCCCCGCCGGCCCCCGCGGTCCCCGGCGCACAACTGACAGATTGCGAAAATGGCGCCGCCGCCGTCAGCGTGAGCTCAAAATTTCGCTAAATTTACACGGGTCGACGTAAACGAACGGTGCTCTGGATGTGTACCGCAATTACCAGTGCGACACAACACTCATTCGCGTATGGATACACTTGCTTTGCATAGAAACATATCAGTTAGGTATTTGAACATCTGTTATGCTGTTACCTTATCCTGTTTTGCGTAAAGATGCTTGTGTGGTGTAATAAAACTGCCGATGTTTGTTAGGTAGCCAATAAACGTTGTATAAAAACAAAGTTATTCTTGATGTCTTTACTTACTATGGCGTTGTGCAACGGATACCTTGCTTATTTATCACGAAAGTACTTAAACTAAAGATATTTTACTTAGTGAAGCAGAACTTTGAAGCTATTTGAACTATTTACGAGTATATTGAACTTGGCATCGCTCAATATTTCTCTGTGTGTATCACAAATATAAATAAAAATAGATTTATTACGTCTGATCGTTGACATATTACGCGAATACTCAGCGCTCGGTGAAAGTGAATGTTTGTCGCAGCTCACAGCAAAACACACGCTCTCATATCATAGGGTTGGAACTGTGGCCGTCATCGTGCCTTCGAGGGTCGCTTAGTTACGGCCACATCACACAATGCGAGAACAACAGAGCCGTTGATTAATTAGACCGTGGGGAGATCAAAACACAACTGCCGGCCCGCTTCTAATCCACACCACCCAGCGAACAAAATGAAAGCGGCATAACAAAAACCGGCCAGCCACGGAAAGTCACACTCTATTCTCAGACAAATAAAGGAATAGAAAGGCTGGCGCAGTGTCTTCCTGGTACCATGTTCACTTAAATGAAACCGTGCTGAAGCCGGAGTCAATGAAGCTCCCTTTGAAGCCCCGTAAAGGCGTGAATGATCGATGGTGTCCGCAGCATTTTATCATCTTAACGTCGGTGTTCGGGCACCGTGAGGGCGCTTTGTGAATTATGCAGCGTTAACTTCTTAATCCTCCGAAGCTAATCTTGGACACCACGCAGCCTGGCCCGTGCCGCTCCTAGGAGGCGAAAAAAGCCCTAACATTGTAACGGAGAATGAAAATCACACGGTAGAGCAGCCTCAATCCCTGCTCCGATGTTTTCCTGTATCAGAATACAAGCCTCGCCAGCCAGAGGGCCTATCTATAATAACAACTCGCAGAGAGATTCGCCACAACAGGCCAAACAGGGGCTCAGGAAGCATGTAAGTTACTTATCAGCACTTTGTGTCCGCTGGGTTCGCTGCAAGGAATAAAACATCACAGCGACGGCGATAAGCGTTATTTTTAAACGTTCTGAATAAGAGATCGGGGTAATATTATTTTACTAATAGCGCTGATGAATTTAGGAAAAAGTTTGAATAAATCAACATTTTTTAACACAATATTTTGTCTTTGATGAAACCGGCTGTGTAACGATTGGCGAAGCTGGCCGCTGCCAGCCCGATGTCCGTTGGTCGGTTTCGCCTGCAGCCCCCTTTCACGCATGTGTAGGTACCACGCATGTGCCCCCTTCCCTTCTTCCACGCATGTAGGTACCGCGCTAAGTCCCGTAAAGGTGTTGTCCCCTACCGGGGCTGACCTCCAGCCTTGGTATTTTATTGACGCGTATGCACGAGCCAGACCAGATGTGTTGAGCTGAAATTATAAATTAAAAAATCCGGTGTAGCGACTTCCTAAACTGAACATTGGTTTCAGTCACCAAACTAGCCATTAGCCAATGTGAATGACCATCACGATAGCGTCCACACTCCACAGCATAGCTATCGTCTTCGCCAACGAAAGTAAAAAGCGGCGAGATAACACAAGCGCATCGGTGCCATTGAAAATCTCAGACGGTTGAATATAAGCATGTATGTGTCTAGAGACTACTTCAATTTGGGTGAGTTTTGTTTATATATAGCTCTCCTTCTGCACTTACAAGCTTGTTTTCATTTATCAGTTGGGGATGACTTGGATGTAACTTGCTTCACTCGCTTCATTCGAAACAACGCTGTTGCTTGCGTTGTGAAAGAGGGAAGGAAGTTGCCATTCTGCGCGTCACCTGCATTGTTTGCGGCATAAAACGATCAAGTGCAGTGTTCAGTTGAAAATCACAGCAACACTGTTTTACATATCTGCCATCAACATTTCAGCCTTCCCAATGTACAAAGAACAACGACCAAGCAGTAAGCACTGCAAAGGTTAAACATATCGAAACCACCAATACAGTGCAGAGCTGCAGCAGCGGGTTAGGGTCCCGCCGGGCCAACCAGGTCGATGGCTCAGGCTCGGCGAGGCCGTTAGGCAAGACCGATTGACGATCTTATGCAAGGTCCCTGAGCGGACCACCGAGCATGCGTGTGGGAAGCTGTGGGAGTTGAGTCTGCACGTGGTAAAACGGCTTCACTCTGAGAAGTGGCAATGAAAATGCCCGGTCAACGAAACCATTAGCAAGTTCTCTTTGTGGAAGCAGATGGATAAGCTCACAGCACGACTAATCATAGGCTACAGGAAAACAGTCCTAGCGTCCTTTACGCCCCAGTCTCAGCATGTTCAGTTATATAATTGGTTGGGTTAGGGTAAATTTTTCAGACAGCAACAATGCCATAATTCGCAGTGACAGTGCACCCGTTACTTTTCAAACTTCTGTATTTTTCACTTAACCTTTCAATGAGCGCTAGCTGATATTTTGAACTAAGCACAAAAACAATGCTGGAGAGAGACAGCTGTCTGACATCCAAGGCATTAGCTTTATCTTACATTACGTCGAGCGCTTACCGACATTATCTTCCGAGCTGCTAACCGGCTTCATACGTCAAAGACAATCCCATTCCGTCTGGTCGAATGTCAAGCGAAGCGGTTTCCACCACTGTATTTTTGTTGACAACATGAAAGTCAATTTGTCTAATATCATGTAAGAGCATATTTCCGATACAGAAAGGCACGCTTGCTTGAACAAGAACAGCCACGGTGACCAGAATCGCATGCTTGTTGCCATGGGGTAGCATTCCTAGTTGTTTGTAACATCCACGAGCTGAAAAGAAGCTGATGGACAGTGATAAAGCAATCATTTGTATTGAACATACACGGTGTCTGACCAGAAACTCAAATTAAGCCGATTAAATTAACAATAGGTTTGGAAAATATCGTCCATTATGCGACAAACACAACAAAATATCGTGTAGTTGATAATGGAATAATGACATAAGCAAATGGGTAGGCTGCGGAATGAGCTTCTAATCACTGTGCGGGCAGCCAAGCACCTCGTGAACGCACAGCTGGTGCTCGTAGTAGTCGCTTAGCACTGTCTGGCACGCCGAGCCGCTCGTGCCCGGCGGACAGTGGCACACACAGTCGGCCGACACGTAGCCGCCGTTCCGACACGGCGGTGGGCTGCTGCACAGCTCCTCGCAGCGGTACAGCCGGTTCATGAGCGCCACGTCACGGAAGGAGGGCCTGTCGCGCTGTCCGATCAGACCCTGCAGCGTCGGGTTCTGGGTCAAGATGGTTGGTTTACCGTTTGACGAGAAATAGAACGTACCGTAATGCATTACAGAGCTCAGGTCGTAAGGCACATCTTTGTTCTGTGTATCGAACATAGCAAAGTTACTTTTGAATTCTTCATCTATATTGTCCCACAGAATCGTAACCTGGTCGTCGCGGTCGGAGCGCGACTGTTCGTGGAAGAATCCGAGCGAGTGGGCGATCTCGTGGGTTACGGTACCGAGACCAGTGCATCCGGTGCCCAGGCTCAGCGCCTGCACACGTGTCGCCAGTTCTTTGGAAACACAGCCAACAAAGGACCAGCAACCCTCCTCGGCAACAAAGCGGACGCGAGGGAGATGGCTTGACTCGGACACCTCCTCAAACTCGATACAGGTGTGGTCTCGCCAAAACCGGATGCCAGCCTCGATGGCGCTGCGATTGGCGTCGGTAGTGACCTCGTAGTTGTATCGTCTGTTATCCCAGAGCCAGTTCGAAGGCGCGCCCTTGCGGCTGGCTGGTGACCTCAGGAGGTCGCCCTCCTCCAGGATGCCGTAAGGCGTCAGAACAGGGTTGGTCTCGTGAAAGTCAACAGCACTGATTGCTGTGGCTCCAGCCAAATTCCCGGAACAAATTGTTAGTACCTGCAAAAGAAGCCATTAGGTTAAAAGCATGGCATTCGTGGAGCCAAAGGATTCGAGTGATAGCAAACAGCAGGTGATGACAAAGGATTAGGAGGAGGCAATAGCATCGGAGCTTTAAGAATCAGTAAAATAGTGTGTAGGCATCGGGTAACTAAACGGGCAGGCAATCGGACACAAAAACGACCTGGCAGTGTAGCACTAAACATATGCGTGGCAAACTTCAACATAATTTTTCAACAGAGCAGCTTTTCTTGAATGAAAATAGGGATATAACAACAATCGTCAAACAGCATAATAAGTTCAAATAGCCGTGTTTCCTGAACAGTATCCATGGACTCACTTGAAACTCCACTGACATACTTACAAAGGGGGGTAGCGGGCAGCAAAAGCTTGAGGTCACTTTGCGAGAGACAAAAATCAGTCAAGGCAAGATTTCTAGCCCAGTTGGTTGATATAAAAGTACGAGCCACTGTAAGACATGTATATCGCAGGTAGCTAAAACCAGCCACTTACCAGAAAAACCAGCATCTCGTAGACGAGGGTCAAACATCTTGACCACATCTTCATTGCTGAAATAAATTCTTGATACAGTCGTTTCCCGAATTCCCACCTCCGTCACCACAGATATAGCACATCGGAGAAGACAGACACGAAAGCATGTGCAAGCACCGATAGTGTGAAACTACCGACGATATCACTGTCGAGTAGTGATGGCCAAGTCGCGTCGCCAGTCGACTGATCACATAAAAACGCTAAACATGTGGCTGAGCCGGACCTAGTGCTCGATCGATCGCATTTGTACAAACAGCTGTGGCGTGTGATAAATGAAACCGCAGATGTGCACTACCCATCAGCTGGGCACTACAATTCATAATAGGAGCGCGATCGCACATAGTGTTGTAGATTATTGATGTCAGAAAATAATTTACAGAACCTAAACGCAAAATGTCGTCCGGGGTTACCCACGTGTCTGGAACCCACAATTGCGTATTAGGCAGATCTTGTGTGCATTGTATAAGGTCCGCAATACGGCGCAGTCACTAGCGCAAATCTGCAGGCATCTTGCATAAAGCCCTTTCACACCTGCCATTTCTACCTACATTGAGAACAAAATAAACAGTTCAGTATTTATTAGGTGACAATGACGTTCTAAGCTGGTTCTGGTGCTAGGTTCATGCAGGACGTTAATGACAAGGTCTTTTTGTCATCAGTGTTTGCTAGACCTTGGAGCCGAGTTTCGCTCTCCGGCACATCGGCCCGTCGCTGGCTCTGGGTCGCAGCCACAGGCACGTACTGCCATGATGAGAGCCACGGAGCCGGGCCCGTCGCATTGAGAACACTCGGACGTGTTCCATGACGGCACTCGGCGGTGCCCGACCGTCAAGGAGCCACTATAGGCTCGCTCCAGTGGCGGTCTGAAGCGGAGATTCGTGACCCAGGGCCATCAAAGAGCTGACCGGTGTTACGGGGTTCGTGAACATGGTGCTAGACGCTTGATATGGCAGCATGACTACGCCAGGAAGCAGCCGCAGCGTCCTAAATGAATGTTCATTTCTCTCAATTCTCATAAAGCTTAATTGGTAATGCACATTTTAGTTTCTTTCAATTGCTTCAGGATTGTGAAGAAAAAATATTAGCGCATGCCAAACACTGCAAAGCTATTATGCAATATGCAGCTACATTCAAGGATAACGTCGATAAAAACATATAAATAGAGTAAAAATAAATTAAATTCACTCAGGCGCTTCCGAAATGTCTCAATATCATGTTCATTTGTAGCGCTCATAACAGCGATGAAATGTTACCTACACCAGTTAGTAGCGTCAATAAGGTGTATGAAAAAAGAAATGCAGCATTCGGAAAAACGGTTTCCATCTAAATTGAATTCAACGCCTTCTTTGTGGGCTTATTTACATTTCAGGTCATTTGAAGAAGGTTAAGCGAGATTGTATGCACATTGCACATCAAACACATGTGTTTTCTTCGCACCCAATAGATAGGCTAAATAAAACCCAATAGCATGTGCTGCAAAACTAGTCAATGTAAGAAAATCATACGATCAGTAGACCGAGATGAGATGCTGGTTAACAGGTAAGTACCTACAGCTACATGACAGGTCATCTGGTGCAAATGTGCTTGCCTCTATCCGGATATCCCCAAGCCCCTTCCACCAGACACATCAAAGCCAAAGCATTTGTCACCCCCAGAACAGAGTATATCCGACGCCACAATCCTCCCACGGAAGGATCAAGCGCCAGAGTGACATCCCACGCCATAATCTGCACTATTCCATGTTCCGGTACAACCCCAACTACCACCTAAGCGGTTTGAGCTGCGACAAGTGGTGGCTGATCTCTAGCGCATCCCTCATGTCAATCAACAGTCGGACCCCACCGCTGTGGATTATAGAAGAACGGCGTATATAAGGCGTGGCCAGGTCGACGGTCGACACACTCAGCCCAGTGTCCTGTCACAGTTGGCTCCAGTCTCCTCGCAGACAGTCATGTGGCCTCTCGGTGTCTTTCTGATGTACAGCGCCGTCGTAACAGGCATGGTGAGACTCGCCGACTGCCGGTCCCCATCCAACAGTCGGGACAGGTCGTCCCAAACTTTGGCGCAAGATGGACGGTTCCTGATGTCCCGGTGTCACATTAGGCAGTTGGTTTCGTTATTAAATGTTTGCACGGCGGTTTATGCATAACTCATGACGCCGCTGACAGGGCAGCCAAACTCTGAGAAGCTCACCATTAGTCACTGTGACGTGACCTGACCTGGCGGAAGCCGTTCTTTAGTCGGCATTCACGTATCAAAACGGTGGGGATAGTAAGAGAAACCCGAGACAACTGGGGACAAGTCAGTTCTTTGCCAAATTCAAAACCTTTAAGTATTAGTTGGGGTATATAAAATCAACATAATACCGGACACATAGCTTCAAATGCCCAAATAAATAAATATTGGTTTTGTATGCCACTACCAGGCCATTCAGACTTGCTATGCCAGGTTGTATAGGTTGTGCACAGGTTGTTGTGAGACGAAAAGTTTATAATTATAGCGCCAAAACAGCATGCGTATCCGGCCAATGTCATGTGCTGACCACGATGCAATCTCCTCAGCCACCACCCCAAGACCCGGTGGTTCTGAACGTCACTGTCGAGGAGACCTCGGACCACCTCAGCATCCGGTATGGGGGTCCAGAGGCCACGGCGTCACACGACCAGAAGAGGATCATCGACAACGAAATCGAGCCCACCGAACTCTGGAACACTGGTGAGCTGTTTACTGACGACCCTGAGCCGCTCGATTTTCACGAGACCAACCCTCTCCTGACGCCTTACGGCCGTCTGGTGGAGGGCGACCTCCTGAGGTCACCGGAAGAGGACCGCAAGGGCGTGACCTCTGCGGAGCTCTGGACGGACCGGCGATACAACTACGAGATCATCAACGACGCCAGTCGCGCCGCCATCGAGGCCGGCATCAAGTTCTGGCGAGACCACAGCTGCGTCCAGTTCCAGGAGGTGTCCAGCGGCAGCTCCGAGCCTCGGGTGCTCTTTGTGGCAGAGTCCGGCTGCTGGTCCATGCTCGGCTGCACAGCAAAGCACGCCTCCTCACGAACACAGAAGCTGAGTCTCGGCTCTGGCTGCACCGGCTTCGGCACCGTCACCCACGAGATCGGCCACTCGCTCGGCTTCTACCACGAACAGTCGCGCTCCGACCGCGACGAGCACGTCGTCATCATGTGGGACAACGTCAAAGAGGCGTACAAGCACAACTTCAAGAAGGTGGACACCACCCAGAACCACGGCGTGCCGTACGACCTCGGCTCCGTCATGCACTACGGCTCGACGTACTTCTCCTCCAGCGGCGGGCCCACCATCCTGACCCGGAACCCGACGCTGCAGGGTCTGATCGGACAGCGCGACAGGCCCTCCTTCCGTGACGTGGCGCTCATGAACCGGCTGTACCGCTGCGAGGAGCTGTGCAGCAGCCCACCACCGTGTCACAACGGCGGCTACGTGTCGGCCGACTGCGTGTGCCACTGTCCGCCGGGCACGAGCGGCTCGGCGTGCGAGACGGTGCGTGGCAGCTACTACCCGGCTCCGAGCTGCGGCGGCGAGATCAGCTCCGAGGGCACCGTGAGCAGCCCCGGCTGGCCGGCGCTGTACCCGACCGGTGCCGACTGCTCGTGGTGGGTGCGGCCGCCGACCGGCCGCCGGGCGCGCGTCACCTTCACCACCTTCTCCATCATGCAGCAGGTGAACGGCTCCTGCAAGTACGAGTACCTCTCGGTACGGCTGGGCGGAGTGCTCGACGGCGGAGAGATGTACTGCAGCAAACAGCTGACAGGCAAACAGCTGACGTCCACCAGCCCTGACGGAGACCTGGTGCTGCGCTTCAAGTCCTACAAGAAGTACTTCATGGGATCCGGCTTCGTTGCGACTGTCGAGTTTGTGTGAAACGGAGACAGCTGAATGATGGACGGTTATCGCAGTATCACGACCCCTCAGGTTTGAGAGTGGATGTTGGATGAATGTAGTTGATTACCATATATTAGTGCAGGCTACCGATCATTTCGGCTATATTGAATCGTCATAACCATGTTTTTTTCATCAGATGAGTGTGGCTTGGCATGTCGAGTAAATAAAAAGGAGTGCATTGAACTATCCTTTTCAAGAGAGGAGAATCACACAAAACAGAATCAACCTTTATGAAAACGCAAGATAACCTTTATACACTACAGCGTCAGAATCGCTACAACACCTGAAACTAACCAGCTCTTAGCTGGCTCTCAACGCTGACATCTGCACACACAATTTCACCTCGGCGATCTCCTGGAATCTAAATCAATGAATCCTTTATCTGGCTGGCCGGCTGGCTCTGATGGTTAGGTCATGGAAGCCGTCAGGGCGCTGTCAGGTCGTCGACGGGACCGGCTAAAACCGGCCACCATTTCAGCGCCGACCATCGGCGCGTTTTCCGCTGACAGGGCCTGTCACCGACGGCCCGGGTGCGGCGTCAGTGCCACCGGTGCCGCCCGCGGCCCGTGCGTGGGGTGAGCCGAGCCTCAATAATGCAGCGGGCGCACTACGGACGACAGGTGTGGCGGGCGACACCGGCCACGCCGCGCCGACCGAGGGGACATAACCGCTGACGGTGCACCGCCGCGAGCCCGGCGGTCCATAACAGACCCCAGGCCGGGCCCAGCTTTGATCCTGCCACCGTGCACCGCCCGGTGTAAGCGTTTGAGAGTTCACAACATCCAGCTACCTCAGATGTGATCAACGAGCATGCTTTCAGAATAGTTGCATGCCGGGATGAACTCCGGACAACCTCTGCGATAACCGTAGATCAGACAACCAACTCTGGCACCGAACTCAGCTGCACTCTGCAGTGAAGCCAACTCAACTTCCCAATCATGTCAGCACCGTGTCGGATGCGGCCGTACACCGATCCCCTCCATCATACTTCTCCACTTGAGCACACAGCAGCGGCCATCGGGGCGGTGGTGGCGGCCACAACTCGTCGCTGGCCCCATCGGGCGGCGCGCGGTCCGTCTGACCACCGGCCAACGGCGGGCCGACACCGTCCGACCTCGGTGCCACGGCCGGTGCTGGGGGTCAGCGGCCGGCCGCCGGGTCCGTCCGGCTCGTAACGACAACCTGGCCGGCTCGAAACAGCCCCGCCAGACGGAGGTGGCGCATTACCGAGCCGTCCGCCCGCTAAAGGCGGCACGGGCCGCGCGGAGGCGGCGGGCGGACGACGGCCGGCGGAGCTAGGCGGTAGGGAAAGACGGAGCGAGGAAGGGATACATGATCGGTCACCGCGGACTGCCAATAGGTGAGGACACAAAAAGACAGAGAAGTGAAGAACGTAGATGTAGATGGACTAAATTAAGAGTAACCGGTGAACAATCAAAGGCTTATTGGAAATGGCCTATGTGGAGGCAGTGATGTGGCATGTAGGTGAAAATGGGTCAGAAGGCAGGCTATCTAGACCACGGGAATATATGGGAATTTACCCGAATGAATGAATCTTAATGGAGGCCCATATTAGTGTCACATAAGAAGCCCTATGTGACCGACAAGAGCAAGCAATCAGAATAGACTGAAAGCTAGTTACAAGTCAATGAACAAAAGCTCGGTAAAAAGTTGAGAAATTTTCAAACATCCGATCGGTTAACTAGCATAAATACGTGGGTCAGAACAATCTAGAGCGATTTACCGAATCGATCGGGACGATACAGCGCATCAGGGCACATAAGCCGATCCCAAATATCGTCCATAAGTCGCCTGCACCATAAGCTTGCTACGGCCTTTGGCGAAATCTTCGGGGCATCGTTCACTAGAGCGCAGCCAAGGCCAAAGCCAAAAGTCGGCACAATGATGCATCGGCATACGTAGAGGCTAATGTAATGTTTTCTCTCCCAGGTTCAGCCTGTTCAAATTATACAAACATCAGGAACTTCAGTTAATCTGCCCATAATGATGGACCATTACAAGGAAAATGGGAACGACTGGGATCTCTCTCGATCAGGTAGGCAGCACATGGCCAATTCTGCTCCAGCCATGGCGACGAAAATCGACCGACTCTGTGAAGCGTGGACGCATTTAGTGAAATATTTCCTGTTTTTTTTTTAATAAATTTAGTCCGAACCTTTTGATAGGAAGGATTCACAAGGACAGAGCCACCACTAAGCGAAGCTTGTTGCGGTGACCCTGCCCTCTACCCTCCGATCGCGCAATTCCAGTTCTATGGCAGAATTTAGAGCCCAAAGTTTAACGTGCGCACATAGCCGCGCACGGCCGGTCCCCTCACTGACTTTGCCTGGCTACGGCCTGCCACCAACCGCAACCATACCTGTCAGGAGGCCCATAAATGTCAAGCGCCCGTCGCGCTTCGAACCCGGACTGTTATAACCGGGAACGCGTGCTCTCACCACGCGGAGTCCAACGCTCTACCAACTGAGCTACGGGACCGGCAAGCGATTCGTTGACTCGTTGACTCGTTAGCGATTCGATTCAGGGCTCTCTGTTAAAATAGGCCCTTGAGTGCGACAACCAGAAATGGAGCAGGCCGAATCAGAACTTCGGCAGCATCAGAGAAACCAGCCACTCAGTCGAGTGGTACGATAATAATGAAATATTGATTTTAAAAGCCGGCTAATGGCTAAATCTGGACTCCGACATGTCGTAACACTTTAATAATGGACATTATCTGCATTTCACATAGTCGGCTCATTTATGGCATAGACATCTGAGACATTCCGACTAAGCCATACACTATGCAAACTGTGAATACATTGTCCCGTAGGATTGAGGACAGGATCGGCAGCAATTTCACCATTTACGACTTTACGTGTCCGTTGTCGAACATGCACCGAGGTAAATGTCAGACAGGTCGAGAGCTTTTCGGTGGAGCGTCGACGGCACCGACCCGAACAAAACTTGCCGAATGCTACTGCCCTCCGTTGACTTCAACAGTTGAGTTCAATACCAAAATCACCGGATTCTTGACGGGACTATAGTAGTTAGAGATAACGCAGGCAATACACTGTTCAAACTTCGAATATACATTCTTGGACGATACCGCGAAAACGAAATATTTCTATCGAGAGTTTTCAAAGGATTTCATGCACGAGGCCTTGGCCGAGTGCATGAAATTCTTTGAAAACTCGAGATAGAAATATTTCGTCGCGGTAGAGTCCTAGATATTATTTCCTGTATGTTTCTTAATATCGTTCGTTATCTGCTTAAAAAAGGCCGAAATATGCATAGATAAAATACAGTAACAATAACTACACGTTAGATACTGAAATACTGGCAGTTCTAATTACTTAACAGTTCAGCAAAGCTTTCAAATTTTCTTTAAAACAGAAGCCCTCGATGAAATCAAGCTATCCAAGAAAACCATCCAAGAAAACGTCTCGCGCAAAGTTTCTTGGATGGCTGGATTGCATTGCAAGACTGCATCAAACATACAGGAATTCGCCTCAACGGATGGCTCAATCAAAGGCGGAGCCAAATGTTACACGATTGTGTAACAAATTAAGTTCTTTGATGCTAGCTGGAAAGCATACGTCGTCATCTGAGAGGGGATACTAATTGTCACACAGCATCCCAACATTGGGGATCATATAAAATTAGGTAGGTCTAAGAAACCTGTCCACTGAAACCTTTGCTGTTGTACCAGCAAGGTAATTATTTTACGCCCATATTGAGTGAAACATGCCTAGATAGGCAACGGCGATGAGAGGCTGTTTCGAATACGTAAGTATACATTCGGTCCCACAAACTGACCCATAGGTAATGTTTATCCAGTTCAAAATTAATTGCGATGGCCGCTGCCCGCTCGCCGTCGTCATAAGAATAAACAATGTAAGTAATCGACACGCCATTATTTCTTCAACGCTTTATGCAATAAAAAACTGAAAATAGGAATGCCTGGGAAAAACCGCCTCAACTATTGAAATAGGAATAAAAAAAACGCGGTGGTCATCTAAAAATTGAAATGAGTGAAGACTTCCATCACCTTAACAACAGAATAAAAAAAGAAGAAGAGAGAACTGCGAGACAAAAGTAACAGATTGTCCAATATATCGACTGCAATTTCTATATAGTGCCCACTAACGGCACTTAGCAAAGCACAGGTAAGGACAGGTAGCACTGGACAGAGCGCGGGTCAACTATGTGTGGTGAGCACCGAGCAGTTCAGTAACTCGATTATTGGCCAGCCTGTTAACGTTCCGTGAATAACTATGGTCGTAGTGCAGTGGGGAGGGCCGGCGGTGTTGAGGCGCCCGCCACAGGCCGGATATTTCCCTCGCTGGGCGCCCAAGGCGTCCCCCGAGAGTCGAGACTACAGGCAACGGCGCTACTTAATCACCCAAGTTGAACGCCCTTGTTAAAACTTTGATCGGTCACAGCGCATCGAAGCAGCGTCACCAACCGTGACCAGAGGGCCACCAGGGACAAAAAAAAAAACTCACCACGGTACAAAGAAGTCACCAACCGTTGCCAAGCGTTTCGGTAACCATCCGTGTGCCAGAAAAGACACTAAAACCTCCCAGAAATACGCGACTCATGGATAGTAGGAGTAGGCACATGCCTTGCTGCGAGCTTGGCGTAGCCAATGATGAATTAAAGTCATAACAAGCTGTCGTTAAATTTCCCACTACACCGATTAAATCGTGAGGACATTAATGGTTGGTGCATTTCATCCGAATAGAACCAGTATAACGCCTTTTGGGGCGACCAACGGAGCGAGCGAGAGGGTGGGCCTTGCATGTGCGAAATTGCGAGAGGGTACCTCCAACTGACTTGTGCACGGCATCCTACTAGCTGGTCTCCAGCTATGTGCCAAATTTGAGCACAATCGGCCCAGCCGTTCTCGAGATCTGGAAGCGGCACCCTGCACGTGCGCACGTGCAAAATGGGTCCCATCTGACTTTTGCACGGCACCCTACTAACTGGTCCCTAACCGTGTACCAAATTTGAGCGGTATCGGTCCAGCCATTCTCGAGATCTGGAATCGACCCCTGCACGTGCGCACGTGCAGCAGCACCCCAACTCTGGCACATGGATATGCATTGCCTAGTCGGTGCCTACCTACATGCCAACTTTCAGCGCAATCGGCCAAGTGGTTACCGAGATATTGCAACAATTACAAAAGTGACACCTCTTCGTTTTGCACGTGGCACGTGCATAAGGGGTCACCCACATGCATCGGGAATAGTCTAATACGTGGTAGAAGGAACGAAGCTACCCTACAAAAATTACCGCGTGTAAATCGGTCAAGTGGTTGCTGAGATATAAGCCTCGCAAAAGCGTGACCACGGCCGGCCGGCCGCTCATACTCAGAAATTTCCGTTAATCTAAGGAAAGACTACGCTCACTTCGCTCGCTCCGTAATTATTACCCACCTCCGAATCAAAATGACAACAAAGGTGCCTTGCGATCCCGTAGATAGATTTTAGGAACGCTTCCCAAGATGCACTGTTCTACCGTTATAGCGGCGGCACAAGAAGAAGAGATGCATTTTCTGGCGAAAAACGACAATAGACACAAATCCTCGAGCCCTCTGGTTCACCCGGAGACCCCGAGGTGTTATTTCTATAGGACGGAAATGAAGCCCAAAGGAAGCCGCGCGGCATCGCCGGCAAAACAAAGCCCGCGCCGGGGGGGGGGGCTGCCAGCCGCGGGGGGACGAGAAGTTGTCGGCACTGAAAACTAACCCTCCCGTAATTACATTACATCCCCGACCATTACTGCCAACGTGCCGGGCGTGATGAAAAGAGAAGCGGCCTTTCTAAACGGCTTATCCGGAAAATAGAGACCACTAGGGTTACCCGCGTGCTCCGCAACGCGAAGAAGGGTTATTTTTGACCCGTGGGTATTGGGTTGGTCTGTGTCGATTTGGTTGGCATCCATTTCGTTCGATTGCTTTTTGACGGCCAAGCATTTTGTAATAAAACAAAAAAGATACATCGCATCGAGGTGCCCGTGTCGTATTATCATGCGTTCTACTTAAGAATGATTCGAAAACTGGCGTGAAGTCTTTTGAGGGCCATCGATGAATTTCGCTAAAAATGACAATGTAATGGTTTAGAACATTTGCATTTTTAAGAATACTGTTATTCATAATGCAAAAATGAAGACTGAGCCTTGGACAGAATTGAATGCTCTTTCCAATGGTGCCATTTTTAATTGCCAGAGATATCAGATCATTGAGGAAAACCCGTGTGATTAATGAAGTGGCACAAAATTGACAAACTCTATTTTCTCCCGTGGTTTGTACCACCTTGATTTGGATCAATAAGCTTTTCACAATTTTCCCATGAGAGGCGGTACATTTCTCTTGCCAACAGGCGTTGTTCCAACTCGCTCCGTTTAACGGTCAACTAAAAATAAAATTAATCCCAAAATCCGTCAAAAACTGCAATTTTTCAATAAAAGTATCCTCATAGGGGCACGTGGCGCGTGCCATCCCCTGCAACGCACACCATTCAATAGCCCATTCGATTCTCTACACGACGCTGTTTTCCCCGTGCCGGTCGGATCCCTGGTCACCAAGATATTGCACGGGGACTGGACCCGTGTCGGCCAAAATTAGCCGTTTTCGCCCGATTTTGCACGCCGATTTATACATGTAAAGTCTATGACGCGAATTTGCACTTTTTGGGCACGCGCCACGCGCTCACTAACGACCCGATCGAGCTGAGACCCCTCAAAGGCACGTCGCGCATCTTTGATCTATAAGTTGTGCAAATTTCACCGGGCTAGGTGCAACGATCTGGCCTGTAGTCCACGCAAAGCACCACCAAGTCGGGACCTCGGTAACGGACAGACGCACCCTCCTCAAATAGTAATATAGATAGACGCCAGTGCCACCAAAGCGAATATAACCTTGAAGTAGAACGTAAGTGACCTCAAGGTCGGCAATGGGTCACTTTATTACATTAGGGAAAGATAGAGGCAATAGAAAGTTGTGTAGGTGTGCGCCTATTACTATTACTGAGTGGAGTCAGGGGCGGATCCAGGAAAACTCCAAGGGGAGGGTCATGAATCGAAGTGGTGCCCCTACCTATACCCAAAATTAAAAACTCAACGGATTTCGTCAACTTCATTTTGGTGGGGCCCCCATTTTCAGTTTTTTTTCTTTTTATTTTTTTTTTCAGTCAGTATCTTAACTCTTAGCCACAACCACATTTACCAATTGTAAGCAAGTATATATGAATGTGCTATGTGTATATATGTTGTGGACGCTGAGTAGTGAGTACTTACCAGGAACGTTATCAGGTAAGCAAATCGTTGTCTCAGTCCGACGAACTTGACCCTGGCGTCTAAAGGGTCTGTCCTTGACACTTCAGGCTTGTCAGGGGCACCAAAGTCCTTCCAGGGACACCACAAACCTGTCACGGGCAACTACGGCCTTGTAGGGGCGCCACAGTCCCGCCAGGGGCACCACAGGCCTGCCAGGAAGCAGGGGCACCACAGGTCTAGCAAGTATACACGACAGGCCTGTCAGGGGCACAACGGGCCTGTTGGGCCCATGAGCACCCCTAGGGGCAGGGGCACCACAGTCCTTCCAGGGGCACCGCAGGCCTGTGAGGGGCACCAGCGGCCTAGCAGGGGCACCAGTCAACACAGGCCTGCCAGGGGCACCACAGACCTGCCAGGGGCACCAGAGGCCTGCCAGGAGCACCACCGATCTCGCAGGGGTAACTTGGGCCTGTCAGGGCCCAGGGGCACCACGGGCCTGTCGAGAGGCACTTCAGGCTTTTCAGGGGCACCATAGTCCTCTCCGGGCGCAGGGGTAGCAGGGGCACCAGAGGCCTGCCAGGGGCACTACAGGCCTAGCAAGGGCACCACTGGTCTATCAGGGGCACCACGAGCCTGTCATAGCCACGCATCTCAGGCTTGTCAAGGCCCAGGGGCACCACAGGTCTGTGAGGGGCACCAGCGACCTAGCAGGGGCACCAGTCAACACAGGTCTGCCAGGGGCGCCACAGACCTGCCAGGGGCACCAGAGGTCTGCCAGGGGCACCAGAGGTCTGCCAGGGACACCACCGGCCTCGCAGGGGCACCTTGGGCCTGTCAGGGGCACCACGGGCCTGCCGAGGGGCATTTCAGACTTTTCAGGGGCACCAGTCCTCTCCGGGCGCAGGGGTACCAGCGGCCTAGCAAGAGCACCAGAGGCCTGCCAGGGGCACCAGCGGCCTAGCAAGGGCACCAGAGGCCTGCCAGGGGCACCACAGGCCTAACAAGGGCACCACGGGCCTGTCAGGGGCACCTAAGGCTTGTCAGGGCCCAGGGACACCACAGTCCTTCCAAGGGCACCGCAAGCCTGTCAGGGGCACCAGAGGCCTGCCAGGGGCACCACAGGCCGAGCAAGGGCACCACTGGCCTGTCAGGGGCACCTCAGGCTTGTCAGGGCCCAGGGGCACCACAGTCCTTCCAGGGGCATTACAAGCCTGTCAGGGGCACCAGAGGCCTAGCAAGGGCACCACAGGCCTGCCATGGACACCACAGGCCTGCCAGGGGCACCACCGGCCTTGCAGGGTCGCCTCAGGCCTGTCAGGGGCACCACGTGCCTGCCGGGGACACTTCAGGCTTGTCAGGGGCGTTACAGTCCTGTCAGGGCCCAGGGGCACCAGGCAAGTGGTGTCCCTGCTAGGCCTGTGATGCCCCTGGCGGTCCTGTGGTGCCCCTGTCAGGACTGTGATACCCCTGATAGGCCGGTGGTGCCCCTGGCAGGTCTTTGGGCCCCCGGGCCTCAAGGGGGGGGCCATGACCCATGTGACCCCCCCCCCCCCCCCCTTGGATCCGCCACTGAGTGGAGTGCTATTTTTGGATGAATTGAATAGGTCCAGCACCTGTTGAAAAAGAAGAAGCATTGACAAGTCATAATATTTGGGGTATCGAATTGAAAAAAACAATACCTACCAATATTGGAAACTCCATCACCAGCCACGGTTAACTGTCCCCACTGTCCCCAGCCCAACATGAAATCGTCTTTGCGCAAAACGAAAAGGGGATTTTGAAACAATATCCAAGTGGCTCTGGCTTTCGAAAGCGGCTTCAGGTGAAGGGATAAAATCGCATTCGACGAAAAAACGTATAGGAGCATTGGCGTAAAAGCTAAAAAGAAAATGGAGGGTTCGTAGTTCAGTGATACCGATTCCTAATAGCAGTACACCACCACACCATAAAACTCTTCATTAGCGGTGTTGCTAATGCCGAGTTTAGAGCGTAAACATTATACGGTCGTGACGCGTCAGTGATTAGGGAGGACAGGGATCATCCCAAATATCTGCGCATCAGCAGTGAACCACCGTATCTGAATATCTGCGTCACATAAGCCTTGATTAATGCGTTGACGGCTTATATTATGTTCTCCACACCATTTTCCTCAGCAGTCTCCCTAAAATGTAGCATGGCATCATAAGATGTCCCCACTAAGCCAGACCATCGCCCCTTCGCTAGTGGCGCCGCCTACCACGCCAGACAGCGCCACCGGCGCGGCCGCTACGCCCGGCTACTCCGGCTACCGGCGATATTCCGACCCACTTGTGGCGATTCGGGACCGCGAACGGCGATCTGCGGCAACACCAGGCAGCGGACCACCTTTCTCGTTTCCGCCAATTAGTTGTTCACTTAGGTTAGCGTGTTGCGTATGACAAAGTTGGTAGGACGGTAACGTACATCAGAAAAGAACTTGACCGTGGTCATAATTTTATAGGAGCGGTTGCAAGCCTGTGGGTGATAGCGTCGGTGCAAACCTGAGTGTGTGTAGTTCTGCAGGCCATCCATTCATATGAATCGAACGCAGTGTTCCCTGGCGAAAACGCATGTATTCTCAGCTCGAGAGGAGCAGCTTTCTTCAGCACAGATGCCTAGATCACCGCGTCGCCGGCAGCCAGCGCCGCTCGGCGCCGCTGGCACCACGCTCCGTCACATCAAAACACACGTCCAATAAATATTAATTTTCTTAAACACAGACCCTCCATAGTAGGTAGTTACAAAGCTTGGCAGCTAACAATACGATAATGTTGGCTGGCCGGCTGGCGCAGCTGACCGCGTCGCCCGGTGCGCGGCGGCGGCGACAGGGCGCCGGCGGCAGCGCTGAGCGGAGCGGCCGCGCGCGGGCCGGGGCCCGGACGCCGCTGGTCCGGCCTGCACTGGGGGAGAGACTGTGCAGCGGGCCCCGGCCCGGCCGCGGGCGGTGACGGGGGCCCGGCAGAGGACGCCGCGCGCCGCCGGTCGGGCCCCGTCCGCAGGCGCGCCCGCCGTCCGCCCAGTCGGCAGGCCCACGCAGACCACTGGACGAATCAGCAACACAGATATAGGCCAGTTATACAAAACCGTATTACAGTAACCAAGTGGGTCGCAAGTTACAAAAGGGAGTAATGGGCGCGGCGCACAGTGGGCTATATTTGGTTGAGACAGTCGGGCCGGCCGGACGGTGCGGCGCCGCGGGCAGCGCCGTCCGTCGGTCGCCCGCCCTTCTCCCTATCACACACTCGCGCCGGCTCCCAGGCCGGCGGCGGCCGCACAGCCGCCGCGGCGTGCGCCGCCCCCTGCGGCCCGGGCTCTGTGACCGTGCGCAGAGGCGCGCTCGCGTGCCTGGGCCCCTGTGCGTGAGTGCACGCGCGCGCGGCGACGCCCGCCACCGCGCCGATCGCCGCTCGGTCAGCACGTAAAACGCTCCGCGGACGGCCCACGACCACGGACCACGACATATAAATAAACAAATCTCCAAAAAACAAGGCAGGCATCGGTTGGATAATTAGCCGGAGGCCGGCGCGCGGTGGCGGCCGGCCAGCCGGCGCGGCCGGGACTGTGATTCGGAGCGGGGCGGCCGGCCGGCGCCGGCCCACCCCGCGGCGGCGGCAAAACTGAAGCACATTTGGCACACAGAAAACGAGACTGCTCGAGACAGGGGAAGGGAAATCGGTCGGAGGCGCCATCCGACACAGCACCAACCGTCACGCGCGGCCCAATCGGCGCGTGTCGCGAGCCCTCTGTGGTCGCGATCCGCACGCCGCGCGCCACATGAGCGAGCGGTGCCCGGCGACCCGCGCGGCCCTGGACAGACTGACCGATCAGCAACAAGGGGTCGAGAGGCCGCACATGTCAGCGCCGGCCTCTACACTGGTGCTGGCGTCTCGAAGAGCGCGGTGCCGCAGCCGCGCGGCCAACGGAATGGTGTGTGAAAACAGCAGAGTCAGCGGCAGTGCGCGCGGCGCGAGCGGCCGCGGCGTGCCGATGGCGCCGCCGGGGCGAGCGCACGCCACGCCCCAGTCACCGAGATGTGTGAAAGCGCAAAGCATAGTCGGTGTCTGTGTATGTGTGTCTGTCTGTGTACGCGTGTCTGCCTGTCTGTGTCGGCGTGTGCGTGTCTGTCTGTCAGCGTATCGCGCGGCGCGGACTCTGCCGGCGCGCTCGGCGACTCGGCAATGACTAGCGGCCGAGCGGCGCCGCCGCGCTCGCGGGCTCCATGGCTCGCTCGCCGTCAGTGTCGCCGGCGGGCAGGGCGCGGCCCGTCTACACCAGGTTGTATTCCTTCAGGTTCAGCTGCAGGATCGTGTCCTTCACGGCGGCGAACACGAAGCGGATGTTCTCCGTGTCTGGAACACCCCACCACGGCGTGTCACGTGCCACCAGCGGCCAATCAGACAACGGCGCTTAAAAATAGCACATAGTCGCACGGGTTGGGATGATACGCCTTGTTTGCACGAAAAGGTGAACGGCAATTGGTTGCTGGGCATGTTTTCATTATTCAAAAATGACAGGGAGGGTAAAATCGAATTATAACCAAAGCGAGAACAACAACATGCTAACGATGTATCAAATACATTTGTGATTGATTCAATGTGAAGGCATATGACTCTTAATTATGCTGAACAACGCCAGTTCAATGGAGATAAGACTTGTATCCAAATCATAATCAAGTTACACAAAGTTGTTATGATGATATATAAGTAGTTAAGCACGCAATAAAAGAGACCTTGCATTGCAAACCCACGCGCTACTGACTACCCAAACACCCATGCGAGTCTTACCAGGGTAAAATACTCACAGGATAGCCTGAAGCGTCCACTTTGAGCGCAGTCCGACGATCACTTATGTCGATATCAATAAAAGCAATGAAAGCAATCCCGTCAACCTCGCCGTCATGCACGAAGAAAAGCGCGTGCTATGAAATGTTAGTACCACACAAAAAAGCGTGCGTTCCGACACCAAGGAAGCATAAATCCGAAGCTTATGCAAACTTATGCACATCGTGTGTTCAAAACATGGGCATTCAACACAGAGAGCATGTTTTCAAACATCGAACATTTACAGCCAAGGCCAGTGCAGGCAAAGGAACTGATATGGAAAATGTGGATGTTGCGTCGGTCGGTATTTTAATTTATCATGATGCTCGGCTTCTCAATGGATTCAGATTTACTAATACCGGCTATATGTATCTTTATAATATTATACAGATGCACAGTACGCTCTCACAATGCATCAAACAATGCGTGAACTATAAAATCAACTCGAGATCAAGAACTATAAAATCAACTCAAGATCGAGAACTATAAAATCAACTCGATCAACAAATCGACGAGAGCAACTATAAAATCGGAGAAAAGAACGGTACGTAGCAGCTTCAAACTAAAACTATCAATAGCCAGCTGGACTAAAGCTTATTGGAAAATCAAGGTAAACGGGTCTGATAATGATTACGGAGCGAGCGAAGCGAGCGGAGTCTCATACTGAATTAAGGGAAAATCCTGAGTATGAGCGGCCGGCCGGCCGGCCGGCCGGCCGGCCGGCCGTGGGGACGCTCTTCAAAAGCTAATATCTTAGGAACGGGACATCCGATTGACAAGCGGTCTTCTTTACTGAATGTCACTTGGACGTAAAAGTTCTGTGGTGTGATGGCCACCATGCGTTCTTGCCAACCACCGCACGTGGCGCGTGGTAAAGTTGGACATTTTTTAAGAACCCCCCAAATTACAACCTCAATAACGGCACAACGGTTGGGCCGATTGAATTGAAACTCGGTACACAGTTAGGTCTCCATCAGATAATTCATCTGCATGTGTTAAGGTTGGGGTGCTACAGCACGTGCGCACGTGCAGGGGGCGCTCCCAGATCTCGAGAACGGCTGGGCCGATTGCGCTCAAATTTGGTACATGGTTGGGGACCAGTTAGTAGGGTGCCGTGCGAAAGTCAGTTTGGACCCCGCTTGCACGTGCGCACGTGCAGTGTGCCGCTTCCAGATCTCGAGAACGGCTAGGCCGATTGCGCTGAAATTTGGCACATCGCTAAAGACCGGTTAGTAGGGTGCAGTGCACAAGTTAGTTGGAGGTACCCCCTCGCAATTTCGCACGTGCAAGGCCCATCCTCTCGCTCGCTCCGTTGGTCGCCCCAAAAGGCGTTTTACTGGTATGAGATCGTGTCCATGTAAGTCATGCGACATGAACGTAACACTTTCAAACGCCGTTTCCTTAGGGGTTAGGACAACAGCTGCGTGTCAAACAGCTGATCACAACCCAATGGCTGAGTCACGGGCTTCCGGCAAGCAGCACACACCAGGCTAGTCATAAGCACCCAACACCACCACGCATTCCACCACAACACGAGCGCAGTCCATTCATGCAATCCCCGTGTCCCAACCACTGTCCACTCCCAAACGTACCCAGTCACCGACACCTCAATGCGTGCGGACGAGCACCTACCTGTTGCACACGTGAAATGAGAATAGATTATCTTCTCGGCGTCTGGGTTGAGGTCGACGAACATCCGCAGGATGAACTCACGCGCGGCGATCGCGTCACGCTGGGGCCCTGCGAGCGCACGTGATGGGCAGACGGGGAAGCGGTTAGAACATGCAAGACAGAAAAACGATGCAATGCGTCCTCCTGGGCACTAAAATGGAGGATTAAAGAGGCAGAATAAACTGTGACATAGCAACTGTTCAACAGGAGGCTGGCTACTTGACCGTGCTTTGTGATACGCAGCTATTTTATCGAACACAGAGGAGAGCAGCTGTCCTATTTAACGCCTAAGAGTGATTATTCCATAAATCAAAACGTCATCTCTTGAAAAAAACGAATGTCAACCATTATGCTATACGCTCCAGCCTCCATCATATGAAATTCCAACTCCAACTCACCGTCATACTCGGGGAAGTAGTCGACGAGATGGGACGTCATGATCTTCTCCTCCAGCAGGTCCTTCTTGTTGAGGAAGAGTATGACGGACGAGTGTTGGAACCAAGGATACGTGATGATGGTGCGGAACAGTGCCTTTGACTCTTCCATGCGGTTCTGTAACAGGCGGAACGAACAATGAACATCGTTTACAACATTCTGATGACAAGAGACAATTTGATAGATGGGCACATAGGTAAGCACACCGACCAATAAAGCAGCGACTCGTGCGTTTTGTAACTATAATTAGACCTGGATAATGTGATTGCTCAAGCAAACACAAAATTGATGAATACAATTTCAATTTGTATTCATCAATACAAATTTGATGGTCGCACAATACCATCAAAGAAGAGCCTTTCCCATGTTGGTTCGGGGCGACTGTGAGGTTCATACGCTTCGACGTGAGGAGCAGCTCTCACACCAACCTCCGGCCCAGCGGGAACTCCGCGTCCCAGTGCCGGAGCACAGACCCCGTGTGCCAGTGCCGGAGTCTCACCTCGTTGTCCGACTCGAACAGGATCTGATCGTACTCGCTGAGCGCCACCAGGAAGATGATTGAGGTGACGTTTTCGAAGCAGTGTATCCACTTTCTCCTCTCGGACCGCTGTCCGCCCACGTCCACCATCCTGCCACAGTGAGTCCAGCGCGACGGTAAATAACACTGTCCCCATATGTAGTACAAGCGCAGATCGCCTTCGCAAGAGCAGGGTTTACAGTTTTAACAGTGTCTTACAAAACGCCATACTTGGCAAGGTACCTAACTTTGACGAGCATAACATAGCTACGCATAACATAGCTACGCAACTATCCGGACATAATGTACAAAACGCCTGTTCAGCGTTACACATGACGCTGAAAAAATGTATGAGGGCCACATCCTGATGAAATTCCTTTGCAGGCTGCACACAACTTTTTACGCTTATCGCACCTGAATATAATGGAGTCGAGGTCGAACGGGTACTCGACGATACCCGTGGTGGGCGCTCGCACGCGAAGGATGTCCTGCTGGGTGGGCAGGTAGTCCCTTCCGGCTATCCGATCCAGGTCGGTAAGGTAGCTATCGGGCAGAAAAGACACATCGATTAGTACTTGTATGTCCGGACTGACAGCGGTGTCTAAGAACACAAAGCTACATGGGCTGTTGCATCACAGAGTTGCGATTGTTTGACACCTATCATCATACTTCTGGCAATCTCTTAGACCTGGTATCGAGAGAAGGCACAGTGCTGAGCTAGCAGTGACCGAGTGACTTATTATTCAGTGAGCCAATGACCAAGCGGCTCAATATTTTCCAGCCTAGCGACCAACCTACATCACCAGATGCTCACGTCGCTACCGTTCTGGTAACCAGTTGTAGACCCCGGGACCGAATAGCTGTCAGACATTTTCTAGCCTTCTGACAGACTGACTCACTATTTTGTGGAGTCGGTGAGCTGGTACTCGTTGCGTCGCTCGTAGCAGCGCTGTACGCCCGCGTCCTTCCACAGCTCCCGAATGGATGACACGTACGGCTCCTCGAACTTGGTGATGGTCTCGTGGTCCACCGACTCGACGAACGCGGCCCGCTCCTGGAAAACGGAGAGCACAGGATGTCAGCGGCGGAAGGAGACGCCGAGCCATGGGAAACACTGGTTCAGGGGAGAGTGGGACATATTCGGCGCGGCAGCGTTCACATGAGCGGCAACGAGTGGGGAGAGACATGGCGAACCGGTAGTATTTTCAATCACATAATACCGCAGACTGTGGAATGGACATCACACGCACATATAGGATCGTTTCCAGCACACGTGTTATCAGGAAATGAGACTTCATACCACCGACCCCAGTCCAGTCTGCTACTAGAAGGAAAGATAGCTGTTGCGCGGTGCGGTTGATAACTGCGAGCAGGGTTGGCAGGGGGTGGCAAAAACTGGTTTTTGCCAGTGGTTTTAACCGGTTTAAACCGGCTGGCAGAAACCCTGGTGGCAAGAACTGGCAAAAACTGGCTAAAACTCAGATGGCCAAACCTACAACTTTTCTAGTTATGAATGGATTGAAATGTACAAATGCATTTCTGGTAGTAATATAGATGCATTGAACATTCTGAAGCTGCCTCATTACTTATCCCTGCTTAAAATGTATATGCATGCCAGTAGACATCCGCAACGGAATGTATTTCCATGTAGGGGAGAGGGGGCAAGACGGCCACGGTAAGTAGGGTGTCATGCGGTGCCGTGCGCATATCAGTGGCAGATACCCCTTCGCACTTCTGATTGTGCAGGACTCAACCAGTCACCCTCGCACTGGCTCATTTGTCACCCCCAAAAGGCATCTTTCTAGCTCCTTATGGAAAGCCTATGAAAATATTTCTGAGTTATGAAGCATTTCAATGGTCAATGTCACTTCTGTTTGGAAACATAAAGCTTTAACCGAATTATCCTTAAAATATTTCATGTTCAAATTCATGTGCAGGCATAGCATTGTGATATTTCTTAGTTTTTGCCAGTTTTTGCCGGTTAAAACCGGTTTAAACCGGCAAATGGCATAAACTAGTTTTTGCCGGCAAAAAATGCCAACCCTGAGTCTGCGAGTGAACTCCGTGCCTGGTGTAGTAATAAAAACCTACGTCGGGTAATCTACCTGCTATTGGTGAGCAGAATGGATGCTTGAAATGATTTGCCGGTATGGGTTTATTTTGACTCCTGTGATTGTCCTTGGTTAAGTCCCAAGTAGATGCGCCTGGTTTCAGTGTCCTACCCGCAATATAAACACAGTTCGCATGCGGAACAACTACGAGTGCCAAACACCCACCAAGGCCGTGATAAATGCCGATCATACGTCGGGAACCCTCTCCATTGACGGGGATATTGCCATCAGGAAGAGGTGACTGCGACAAAGGCATAAAAGTCGTATTGTCCGGCCATTTAGCGCCACTCACAAAGTAAAAACTATGAGGAATGTTACGTTTCAGACTCCAGCACCTACGTTATTAGGTCGCTCTGTACAAGATCGCATTCCATTGTACGACACACTGCATTGGAATCGAGCATATCCTGAGCTGAGTAACCTAGGGAGGTCCCATTAAGCAGCACATCATATCTACACCGTCAAGTCAGTATGTACAGTCACCAGCACTTGCTACTAATCACCTCGTTTTTGCTCAGTAGTTTGAAGACCGATCAATTCTCAGTCGAGCAAGATACGTCAAACGATCGGTTTGGTCCTCCGATTTTCGAATATCTAACTTGTTTTTGTATGTTCGAAGCATTTTGGGATGAGGAGCCAAAAAACGTCTTTTCTGCCCTAAAGTTGCCCCAAGAAGTCGTAGAACCTAGCCCCGCCTCTGATCCACAGACCACTAGTGCCATCTCTTGTCAGCCGAACAAACCGCAGAAGTAAATAATGTCACGTGACCTTTGCACACGCTACAATTACTACGCAGTTGTAGTGGGGGAAGCGGGGCGGAGGCGTGGAGAGGGACGCGATCGGTCCGGTCGGCTGGGGTCAGGTCGCCGAAGTCGGAGGTCATCCGCCGGAGGGTGTTTGGGCGTTTGAGCCGTGTGGGCTGGGGCTTGCGGAGTGGGGAGCGCCTGGACCTGTCTGGAAACAAGTTCTACAACGCTGTGGCAGTCGAGAATATTGTGAGGAAAGAGAGAGAGAGAGAGAGAGAGAGAGAGAGAGAGAGAGAGAGTGGAAGAGAAAGATGGAGATAGAGGGAGAGAGGGAGAGGGAGAGAGAGAGGGATAGAGAGGGAGATGGAGAGAGAGGGAGAGAGAGACGAGAGAGAGTGGAAGAGAAAGAGAGAGAGGGATAGGGAGAGAGAGGGGAGAGAGGGAGAGAGAGGAGAGAGAGAGTGGAAGAGAAAGAGGGAGATAGAGAGAGACAGGGAGATGGAGAGAGAGGGAGAGAGAGAAAGAGAGAGAGGAGAGAGAGAGTGGAAGAGTAAGAGGCGGAGAGAGGGAGAGAGAGGGAGAGGGAGAGGGAGAGAGAGGGAGAGGGAGAGAGGGGGAAAGGGAGAGAGATGGGAGAGAGGGAGAGAGAGGGGAGAGAGGGGAGAGAGAGAGAGAGAGAGATAGAGAGAGAGAGAGAGAGAGAGAGAGAGAGAGAGAGAGAGAGAGAGAAAAGAAAGACTGGAGGGAAGGGATAAGGACGGGAGGAGAGAAAAGAGAGACGGAAAAGGAAAACCAGGAAGGGTAAAATGAGAGAGAGGGTAATGGGTAAATGAGTGAGAGGGAGCGAGAGAGAAAATATTTAGTTGTGTCAGCTTGTTTCGTATGTAAAATGTAAATTTGCTTTCCATCATTTCAGCTTCGGATTGGAAATTAAATCTTAGCACCCTTATGATAAACCCACGCTGACGGGATGAGGACGTTTTTATGGTCGTCGTTGGGAGCTCGGCACTAATGGGGATGATGTTGAGGGCTTCGCAAATATTTCATAAAAGAGATGATATTTTTTGCATCACTTATTAAACATTTTTTTACGTTTGCTATGAAAATGTTAGGCCCAGTTCCTTCAAGATCAGGTCCACGACTCCACAGCTTACAACAGGAGCTAGCTAACATAACAATTCACCCGCGCCGTGTTGGTGGCATGAACTTTCCGTCGAGTGCTGAGGGGGGGGGGGCGTTTCACGCCCCTCCGCCCCTCCGTCTAACTCGGCTCCTGGGCCACGTAGCGACACGCGGTAAGCGGCAATCGAAAGAGCGTCAAAAATAAGAAGGAAAACACTCGGTCATTTTAAGGTCAGGGCAAAGGTCAGGTCACCAGAGCTCATCAAAGGTCAAATTTTGTCGATTTCAACGATTTTAAACATCTGACTGCTAACTCTGGAGCCAATAGAGCTACAGCGCCGTGGAAAAGCGCATTCGATAGCTCTTTTAACGCTCTTTCGCCAACCTGTCCTCAAATTTGACCTCAGATCAACGGTTTAGCCCCCAGAGGGCACCGCTCTGATTGACCTCAAATTTGACCTCAGATCAACGGTTTAGCCCCTGTGTTTTCACCGCTCTAGCACGTCTCTGTCAAATCAAAAGTTATAGTAAAAGAAACTGCTGAAGACCTTTCATGACCTGAAATGACCTCAGGGGCACACAAAGGGGGCACAGGTGCAATTTTCCGATTCAGAGTGTCATATTTACATATGAACCGATGTTTGAGAGGGTGTAGAACGACATTCGGCCCAAAGAGGCTCATTTCAATTTTCTCCCATTGACTTATATGGAGCAGTCGTAAAATTGACTTGACCTTAGGTCACAACTCACAGATATAAAAAAAAATCCGATATATCCATTTTATACATACTGTTACCCTAAGCAAGTACTTAAAGTTTCAAAATGATCGCTCAGTCGGTGTAGCTACAGCGACCTTTCTAACTTTTTCTGAGGTAAGATCACTTGACGTTACATGGTGACCTGACCTTGAATGACCGGGATCTGAAATTTTCATAGCATGTGCGAAAAAGATGTCGGAACGGGTGTGTCTAAAACAGCGGCGCTACGCGTCGCCGTTTTTAAGATATTCGCGAAAAACCTAGGGGGGCGTAAAAACGCCCCCCCCAGGACGGCGCGGATCAAACGGCCCCTGAGACCTCGGGATGGTGCCCCTGAGACCTTGGGATGGTGACCCTGAGACTTCGAGATGGTGCCCCCTCAGACCCGGGGAGAGTGCTCCTTCAGACCTCGGATTTCGGAAAAGTGCCCCTGGAAACTTGGAATGGTGCCCCCGGAGACCTCGGGATGGTGCTCCCAGACCTCGCGATGGTGCCGCCGGAGACCTTGGGATCAGGATGGTGCCCCGGACCCTCGAGATGGTGCCCTCTCCGACCTTGGGATGGTGCCTGCGGAGAACTCGGGATAGTGCCCCCTGAGAACTCGAGATGGTGCCCCCGCGGACCTCGGGATGGAAATAGATGGACGATATTAAACTAAAAGCTAAAAAACTCAACTAAACTAAAAAAAACGAGGCGAGGGACAGAAATGGGCCTCCGGGAGACCTCGAAAACGGTACCCTATTCCGATGGACCTTCTGGATGGTGCCCCCTTAGGAGACCTCTGGGTTAAAGCTCTCGTCGGTGACCTCCGTGATGAATTAAAAAAAAAAACTCCGTGATGGGCCCCCGGGAGGCCCAAGGGGGGGGAGAATGGCCCCCATGCCCTCCCTCTGGATCCGCCACTGAAATGATCTGACCCAAGATCTTACCTAAAAACGACCAAAAGCCTTCCTTCATTGTCTGAAAACCGCTGACAGTTGATAGCTCAATGACACTAGAGCCATGCATAAGGAGGCGTGAAAACACTCTCCTCATCTCGATCTATTACGAAAGGACCATGTCATGGCGTGAGAAAGGTGTTCTCAAAATAGATGACACTGTATGAATGAGTAAATAATTCGCGCCCCGTTGGGCTATTGGCGGACCCTACCACCTGATGGGGTGGTGCAGCCGTTTCGTCCTCCACCTGAGATCTCGGAAAGTTACCGACCGATTTTGAAAATTCGAAGAACGTTCGATAGCCCCAAAAGGGGCTATCGAACCTTGTTACCAGGTTTCGTTGACCTAGCTGCAACCCATGACGTCACAAGTCAGGTC